GACACGGGTCACGACGAGGCGTTCCCCATAGCGACCCCTAGAGGACGCAGTTTGAAGTTCCCATGAAAGGGAACTGAAGAATCTACAGATAGTTTCTTTCATTTTGTGACATATATCCGAGTGTAATGGATTATTAGTTCACCCAAAAAGTGAAAATTATGTTATCCAATATGATAAACGGAAGATTAGCTGTATTACTGTACAAAGTTTTGGTGGATTCGGTTAAATGATAGAAATGACAGGATTCTTTAAAAATTTCTTCATCTGTGTTTCAAAGATGAATGAAAGTCTTATGGGTTTTAGAGAAACACAAGGGTGAATAATTGATGACAGAATTTTTATATTTGGGTGAACTATCCCTTTAAAATATGAAACTTTGGCTTCTCGTCTCACTACATTGAATGATACGTCAGTTACACTTTATTTTAAGGTCCAGTTCTTACTATTAACTGCAACTTTTCCCTCAATAAACTCCTAATTACTGCTTATTAATAGTTAGTAAGGTGTCAAGCTTGGGTATTGAGGATTAAGGATGTAGAATATGGTCATACAGAATAGGTGCTTTATAAGTACTAATAAATAGCCAATATGCTAATAATATGCATGCTAATAAACTATCAGACTTATTGCCTGATGGACAATAAAACAGGCAAACATCCCATAGGCTTACATATATTGAAGGAGGTTCCTAAGCCATCTTGCTGCATTACACAATAACAAAATCCTCACTTCTGTGGAAGTTTGTGCGAAACAGACGTGAAAGTAGTGGTTGTAACTAGAAATAAAAGATTTTTTTGTAGTTATTTATTTACTGATTGATTGAAATTTTTATCTAAAAAAATCTAATTATCAGTATAATGAGGTTATTTTTGTTTTATTTCTATTAAGAGTACTATTTCATGGCAGTTCATGGGGCCTTTTGGTAATCAATGTGTGTTTGTATAAAAGCCAATGATACTTTCTGTGTGTGTAGGAGTGCTCAGGCTCAATGTTGATGCTGTGCTGTATGTGTGGGCTGGGGTTTGACATATTGGCCGAGGCAATAGATTGTGTAGTTGAAGCTCTTGTATTGGGTGTAGATTGATATTGGAGGTGATTTGCTGTTGGGCTCTTGAAACGTTTTGTATTAAAACGTACCCTTTGTATTTTTTTGTAGTTATTTATTTACTGATTGATTGAAATTTTTATCGGGTTTTAAGTATTTAAATGTATTTCTGTCCATTTTACACATACATTTCCTAATAAATGAGAATGTGAGAGATGTGTCCTTTGTGTGTGTGTGTGTGTGTGTGTGTGTGCTTAAGAGGGAGAGGAAGCATCAAAGAGTATGTTTGGGGAGCAGTCTTTCTGCTCTGGCCTCATGCCCTGGCAATTATCTCAATGATTTCCTCCTCTTTTCAATTCTCTCCATTTCCACACGGCCGTCCCCTCCATTAAAGGAGCAATTTACCAGAGTGCTGTGACACAGGAGCCAGGAGATAGAGAGAGCGTGAGAGTGTGGGTATGTTTGGGAAGGTGAGGATGAGATTGGAAAGGTGTGTTGAAGAAGGGACAGTAAGAGGAAAAAAAGAATAGCTGCCTTGCTGCCCTCATTCAGAAATGTGATGGGACATGATGGGCACCAAATAGATTTAAACAAAGTTTCTTAAAGAAGGCAGATCTTAAGTCCCATTTTTCTTGATGTTTTGGAATCAAATTAATCTGAAAAGTTATAGTTATTTTATACACTACCTTTCAAAAGGTATTTATTTGTCCAGCAAGTATGTATTAAATTGATCAAAAGTGACAGTAGAGAAATTTATATTTTGTATATTTTATATTAAGAATTCATGGGGGGGGGATCATAGTTTCCTCAAACATATAAAGCAGCACAAGTGTTTTTGACACTGATAATTATAAGAAATGAGCATTAAATCAGCATATTTGAATCATTTCTGAAGAATCATGTGACTGACTGAAGGCTGGAGTAAATGGCTGCTGAAAATTCAGCTTTACTATTACAGGAATAAATTACATTGTATATTATATTTAAGCAGAGTACAGATATTTAAAATTGTAATAACATTTCAGACAATAAACTTTTAAACTGTAGTGTATGTAATAAGTGTACCAGGGAAAATATCTATCTGTCTATATATATATATATATATATATATACAGTGGGTAGGGAATGTATTCAGACCCCCTTAAATTTTTCACTCTTTGTTATATTGCAGCCATTTGCTAAAATCATTTAAGTGCTGCAATATAACAAAGAGTGAAAAATTTAAGGGGGTCTGAATACTTTCCGTACCCACTGTATATATTAGTAAACAAAAATGAGTTGATTGGTTAAAATTTGGATTATAATTGGTGTTTAAATGTTACTATAATTTGTTTTTGTCTCTTTGCCATTTTTTTTCATTCAGAATCCTCCTGCAGAATCGACTAAGGACAACATCAGAAAGGCACTGGAGGGGGCGAAGCATGAGATGGATAGGCGGAGCACTATACAGAGTCTCAGCCAATAAGCTCTCTCGCACTCAAACCACCTGCACACCTAACAGTAGACCAGGTAAACATTTTGCAGAGATAATTGCCTGACCAGTTTGCAAATATTCTAAGCAGTAAAATGAAATTTGAAATGTGTGTTGCCCACTTTTTTGTTGACATAAATATGGCGGTGTTTAGTTTTGTAGGTTTTCAAGGGTCAGTATATATCGGTTGTCTATAAGTACACAGTCCAAATTATCAACACATCCAGCGAGAAAGAGAAAGGGGGCTACAGGTCGCCTTCTGAAATAATAAAGCTGTCATCTGTCACTGGCTACAGATTGAGAGAGAGACACAGAGAGAACGAGAGAGATGGTGAATGGCCTAGATTAAACCCTAAAGCCCTAGTCAGAAGTGGAATTAAAGATCAGCTCTTGCCCTGTGATGGGAGTTCCACACAAACACACATTTCATCTATTTATGATCTCCCCAACAAACTGTGGTCTCACCACACACAAGTCTGGTACAGTTAATATACACAGACTCAATCTCTCATTCACTTTTTCACATAGACTTCACAATTGAATCCCACATAACCAGCGAGCCATTTCTCACATGCACTCGGATCCTAAATTCCTTGCGCTTTGGCCTCATTGCTCTATCACTCAGTGCTACATAGAGTACAGTGTTTATAGGTGTTGGACCCTGACATATAAATAAACAGCATGGTATCTTGTCTTAGTTGTACTTGCTGGCCTCCGTCACTACCAATGAATGTGATGACCTTTAATTAAATGCTATTAGTCTGGCTTGTTATAAATAAATTTGCTTGTGCACAAGCTTGGATGAGACAGGAGGAACAAACAAGCACTGGCCTACAGCTCACTTCAAGCTATAATATCTACATTATATTCACAAAGAAATAATACTTTGCTTTTGCTAAAGCTGATGTTTTTAAATGAATAGTTCATCCAACAATGATAATTAGGTCATTATTTCTTCATCTTCATCTTCCAAACACAAAACCAAATAATTTATTTTTTTCCATAAAAAAACAAAAATAGATATTTAGTGGAATATTCATGCTGCTCTTTTCATTCATACATTGAAAGCATTAAGTGACCAGTGACTATCAAGTACCAAAAATGCCATAAAAGCACTATAAAGGTAATACAAAACCATCATGAAAAAATCCATCAGACTTGGAAAAATATACGTTTTGTGTGGCAAACATGGAAATTTACGTTGTTATTCACTATAAACCTCCTTTTGTGTTTCATGGAAGAAAGTCATGCACGTTCATAAAATGGTGCGTAATCCATGATCTTCTATAATTTTCTTTTTCTTTTCATACTACAGGAGAATGGTATAATCCATATGTTTCCTCGACTGGTAATCAGGGAAGAACATCAGCCACACGTTACGTAGCCAAGTTAGTATTGTAATAGATGGTTAATTTCACAGCATAACAATACATAACATATGACCGTCAATTTGTTTACTGGTTTTGTGATTTATTTTGTTTCCTATGCATATCAGTCGTGCTGTGCAGAAGAGTTTAGCTATAATACGACAGGCCAGACAGAAGAAACAGAAGGCCAAGCAGTACTGCATGTACTATAACCGATTTGGCAAGTGCAACCATGGTGACTCTTGCCCCTACATCCATGACCCTGACAAAGTGGCCGTCTGCACCAGGTACTGAGTGTCTGTGCACACTCTTACATTATACAAAACATCTAACACTTTGTAAGCCGTCTTCAAATTAAAATTGTGATTGGTTGGCAGGTTTCTCCGAGGCACATGTAAGCAGACAGATGGGACTTGTCCTTTCTCACATAAAGTAGCCAAAGAGAAGGTAAGTTTTAGGGGTTCTTCCTTCAAAAGAATAAAATAATTTAATTTAAGTATTCTAATGAACTGTTTGTGTTCAAAAACTGGACAGCATAAGGGACACTGCAAAAAAAGTATCAGAGTCAACCATTTAGGGCATGTTTAGAAAATCAACACAAAATGCTTGTTCAAAGTTTTGATTGAATTTTGTTTTTTATAATGGTTTTCTCTGAATTTAAGCATAGTTGCACCAAATTCTTCTGTCAGAGGGCAGATCATAAACTAAGTGAAACAATTTCAGTCATAACTCAAACATAAAATGTGCAGCTACTGTATTTTATCTTTGTAGGACAGTATTGACAGTTGGATTTATGCATAAAGCCATAAGAATCTTAGCATAAGTCATGACTGGCCGCATGTGGTAGTATCAGGTTACTGTCAGGGCTTGCTGGCCTGTGGGGTGATAATTAAAGATACTATGTCAGGTCCTTAGCTTCCTCTCTCAGGTTGTGATGGTGTGTTACAGTCTCAATATCTGTGAGGCAATCCCACTAGATTCCAGAGTTACATACTTCGAGGTCTTTGCCTAGGCATTGCCGTCATGGAGACAGGTGGAGATAGGATCAGTATTGACGCAACATGTGACCCATCATATAGTCTAGATTCTCCTGAAGTGAACATTACGATCTCATTACTTACCTTCCCCTCTCAGACAGACACACACATATGTGCACGGTCATATTTTTCATGGCCATGATTCTTTGGTCTCAAAGTCTGCCTCCTCACCTTGTTAACCCGTTTAGTTTTCGATACCTTTATAGAAATATTTGCAGAACTGTTGTCAGATATTTTTGGTTGCAAAATGCATTGTAGATCTGCAGTGCAATTTGCAACCAAAAGTATCTGACAATAGCAGTGTTGCTGAGATAAAGTGAGTAATATTAAGCTCAATATGGCAGCCAACATGAAGGGAGACCCCTTTGTAGACACATTATGCATCAAATACTCAGAAATCTGTATCTCATGTAAGGCTGGCCACACACTAGAGGATTTTAAGGCCGATTTGCACCCCCGAACGATCGGGGAGTGTGGCCCGATTCGCGGCTTGTCGCAAGTGATTTTTTTGTCCAAAAAGCATGAAAGCAGAGAACATCACCCATATTCTTTTCTATACTTTGTTTTTCACTGTACAACAGAATGCGCGCCGGGAGAGCCAGCCGACAACATCAATTGTCCTCTATTAGTTTTTCTTGTCTAGTCACGTTTGATTTCGCGAGTGTCCGTGAGATCTCGTCACTGTGAAATCGTTCCTACAATCATCAAGTGTGTGGTCTCGTGGTCTGGTCTAATCATCTAGTGTGCGCATTCAGAGGATTATAAGGCTAAAAATCGGTTGAACTGTCTTCATGTCTGTGGTCTCCCATGGTTTTAAAATCTTTTAAGATTTGAAAATCGTCTAGTGTGCAGCCTGCTTAAGTGTCCATCATTTTAAATATTTGTCATTATCAGTATTTGTTTATTTCAATAGAATATGACTTTTAAATAACATTGTCCACTAAATTTGCTAAGTTTTCTTTAGGGTTCCCATGATCATGGAAAACACGGAATTGTCATTGTTTTTCAGGCCTGAAAAAGTCATGGAAAAGAATACAATCTTTAAAATAAATAGACAATTAAATATCTATAATTTATATGCAATTCCTTTTAAATAATGTATTGGCTAGATTCTGCTCATGTAGCGCTTATGTAAAGTTAAGCTTGCTTGCAAGTCAAAGTGATGTGATTTATGGGCAAATGATTCTTTTGAGTCAGCTCTTTTCAGTGAACTGGTCAAACTGATTCACAAAGTATTCTAAATGATTCTGCGGCAGATCAAGTCTAGATCCAGTATCCATTGCAATTGACTGGAAATGAATTATCTATTGGTCAGTAAAAGTGAGAATCTGGTTTGGTTTGGTTTTTTGTTTTTTTGTTTTTGTTGTAAACTTTGTAAATCATCCCTGATATAGCAAAATTTTAAAAATGAACTGGCATTACATCATTTCAAACAAAATCGGGCCAAACCATTCTTGCCAGCTTGCCATAGTGAAATTTCCTGAAACGTAACTTTCATCACCTTCAAACTACTATTGCTCTGGGGCTCTGTCTTCTTTGACATAGAAACATTCTCTGGTTCATTTAAGTAAAGTAAATACATGAACACACTGGAGAGCTGCTATATAGTAGAAACTGAAGTTGTAATTCTATTTGAAAGTGACACTGTATCTGTTGTTTGTGTTGAATACTGGGTTCCTACACGGTTTGGAAAAGTATGGAAAAATATATAATTTGATTTAATTCATTCCCAGGTCTGGAAAAGTATGGAAAAAAGAAAGAGTATGGAAAAATATTTGCATTTCCAGACTTTTGCCAGTTTAAGGAAAATGAATTTTGTTTGTGTCTTTTAAAATGAACACAAACAAAAAAAAAATAAAACACGACTCAATGAATTCAAGGTGCAATTTTTCATTATGCAAAATGCAGGTTATAAGCGTTTTGGGTTTCTTCTCACGATATTCTTAGCAACGTATTACATAACCTCAAGGACCTTTGAAAACTTAGCATATAGGACAATGCACACTGAGCCACCTTTTGTGCCATCAACCCATTTTGCGGTGCTGTTTCTTGGCATGCAAAAAAAATACCCATGCACATGTGAATAGTTTCTCAAGGGCACAAAACAAATTCTTGTGTGCATGCAAAAGTCGTTTATTATTATTAATATTTTCTTATTTTATGGGCTCTATATGTTGTCACTTTGAGAAAATCAATGAAAAAAACCCTGTACTATATACCAAATATAAATCTGAAAATAATGCTGTATGAACCATTAATGTTAAATATGGTCTGAAAATCTACTGAGAGGTTTGGAAATTTGAGTCTAAAAAAGTATAGAATTTTGAAATGGAAAATATGTATGAACGCTGTTAATACTGTAAAGCTGCTTGCTGTAAAGCAATCTATTGAATAAAGTGCTGTATATGTATGTATCCCATCCACATTGCTATGATCAGATACTTTCCTAACTTTTATTTTGTGTGTATATTGAGGCCTTAAAGCCCTTCTAGTATAATATGAAAGTAACAGAGAAATAATGCATTATTTATAATGACAGCAGGAGTGGTAAATGAAGAGGTGTAGTTTGACAGGAACAGAAGTGTCATTCCAGGTTCAGTAAGACACTGTCTGAAACTTTCCCCAAACTTTCTTCTCACAGTGAGACACCTGTTTCCATTGTTTGTTTGACACAGAAAAAAGCCCCTCCGAGAGCGTTCACTTTCTGTAAAACACACATACTTTCTCCCTGCTCCACTCTCTCCCTCCCTCTCTTCATATTTTAACACTTGTAGCTGTCCGCTTGTTTTAAAGAAGCAGAGCCACCTCATCGCAGCGCAGGCCCACCTGCTAGTCCCAACCCTATAAGCCCCCCTCCTCCTGTTCCTCTACAGCCTTGGGGCTCAATTTAACCCCGCACCCTGTGTCATCCGTGTATATGCCATGAAGCATGGCTTGAGTTCACGCCTGCAATTGAAAACGATCCAGTTCCCCCTCCAAATAACTGAGAAACAAGACCCCCAACCCAACCCCCAAACCCCTTCACCCCAGTCGTGGCTAGCGTCCATTCCCCTCCCCTGCACATAAACACATCATGCAGGTGGTACGACGCCCCACTTGGGTCAATATTTCTGTTGCAGTTAATTAAGCAGAAATGATATGACCCCCATGGAAATTAGATTCCACTTAAGAGGTCAGCGGCCCCCCTCTTGCTCATCGTGTGCGCGATCCTCACATTCTATTTCAAGCCCAGAGAGCTCTCCTTCACGTTCAGATTATTCATACATGCAGATTATATTCACGAGGAGTCAGTGCAAATCTGTGCCATTGACACATGCACATAATTACTGATTAGACAATGTGTGATTAAATATGTGTTTTGACAGGGACTTCAATAGATACGTGATACAATACTGGTGCCATATGTGTGTAACTCACTTAAGCTTTCCATCACTTACTTTTTATTGACACACATCTGTTAGAAATGGAATTTAAAAGCTAAGATGTATTGTAGCTGCTCTTATCATTTCAGAAGTTCTTTGGTTTCTCAAACTAGCCATGTTCATTCACACTTGCTCTGTTGTTTAGTGCTGGGGATTGATTTAATGTCTGCAGTTATCTGAGGTTTTAAATTGTTTGCATAGATCCCTGAAGTCATTTTCAAGTTCTTAATCGCTATTTGTTTTTCTGTATAGATGCCTGTGTGCTCGTACTTTCTGAAGGGGATCTGTAATAACAGTAGCTGTCCCTACAGCCATGTTTATGTGTCTCGCAAAGCTGATGTGTGCAAAGACTTTGTCCGAGGCTACTGCCCTCAGGGAGATAAGGTAAGACAGTTTGATGGTTTCTATGCAAAAAAATGTACTCTAAAATGCTTGGGGAGATGTAATGACATTTATATGTGGGCATATGCTATTCTTTGCTATAAAAATGTAAATGAATTAAACTATGTAAATGATTTGAAAGAAATGTATAAAGAATATATTTTCCTTATTTTAACACTTTTTATTGAAAATTTATTATAGTTTATTATAGTGAAGTATTATAGTATCATATACATTTATTAACTAAAAATAAAAATAGGCAAATTTAACTCTTTAACCCTGAGAAAGGCATCCACCTGTATTGTGATAAAAGGTGCTTATATGGAGAGAGATCTAGCATTTGGCACATAACACATGTGGTTCAACTTTCAGGTCAGCAATGTCAACAAAATTCTTTTCACTTTTACTTGCATCCTCATAGAAGCCGTAAGGTCCTCTTTATTAGTGTACATGTAGTTTGACATTCATAACATTTGTTGGATTAAAGTGATTTGCAGTTGATGACAGTTTTATAGGTCTTAATGAATGAATGCCGTTTATTGGTGATGGTTTTTTCCAAGAGTTTTAAATAGAGCTCTTAAAAGTTGACTGTGTTCCTAATGTTAATCTGAACCTTCATCAGGGTGCTTATGACATATGCATTTGGTTTCCTCCATGTTTGTGTGTGAGTGACATATTGAGGGCAGTAACAAGAGAGGACAACATGACCCACATTTACCAAGTGTCCTCGTATGTCCTTAATCTAGCAGGTTCTAACCCATCCGTGACCTCTATCCTCACCCCATGCAGCTCTCCCACACACACACACACACACACACACACACACATGCTTCTCTTGTCCCCCATCACACCTGTCCCTCAGTCTCATTAAGCTGTACAGGAGAGTACAAACCTTCGCTTGCATGAAACAGGTGTAGCCACCATCATGCTGTAGTACCTATTACATTCTTGTTTTCATCCAATTTGAATACATGACATTGTATGACTTGTGCTAGTCATGTTCTTTGTTATATTTTAGAAGTGTAAGCTTAAAGGAATACTTCACCCAAAAAATTTCCATCCAAGATGTAGATGAGTTTGTTTCTTCTTCAGAACAGATTTGGAGAAATTTAGCATCACTTGCTGAACAAAGGATCCTCTCCAGTGAATGGGTGCCGTCAGAATGAGAGTCCAAACAACTGAAAAAAATAATCTCCAAGTAATTGACAACTCCAGTCCATCAATTGATTACTTGTAAAGAAAAAAGGTTCATCTTTTTAACAAAATAATTCATCATTGAGGCTTCTTTAACTTCAAACCGTTCCTTCCAGCTAAAATACACGTTCTCTCTCCATATTTTAATGTGAGAGGACAACGGGATGAGCTTTTTCTACTGGAAGAAGCGTTATAATGGACAGTTATTTTTTTAAGAAGCGACGATTTGCAGTTAAAATGTCTTAATGATGGATTTATTTATTTTTTTTGTAACAACAAACATAACTTTTAACTTCACAAGACGTTAATTGATGGATTGGAGTCATGTGGATTACTTGTGGATTATTGTGATGTTTTTATCAGCTGTTTGGACTCTCATTCTGACGGCACCCATTCACTGCAAAGGATCCGTTTGTGAGCAAGTGATGTAATGCTAAATTTCTCAGAATCTGTTCCAATGAAGGAACAAACTCATCTACATCTTGGATGGCTCTAGGGTGAGTGTAAAATTTTATTTTTGGGTGAACTATTCTATTAACAGTGCGTTCATTAATGTTTCTTTATTTAAAAAGTTAGTAACACTTTACAGTAAGGTTCAGTTCATTAACATTACTTAATTAGGCATCATGGACTAAAAATGAACAATACTTATACAATATTAAACAGTAACTTTGCACATGTATTTTTAACATTTTAAATTGCATAAATTAACAATTATTGTTATTTAACATTAATTTATAATGAACATGAATTAAGTAAAACTGTACATTTATAAATGAACATTTCTGAGAAAAATATAAAAAAGTGACGAAATGCATTAAGAAATTGTAGGAAAAAATAACATTGTAAAGTAATACCAAAAAAGTAACACCAAAAAGTTGTTAAATAAAAACAAACAAACAAATAAATAAATAAATATATATTTTTTTTAAATGTCAAAAAAATGTAATCAGACGACTTCGTCATATCTGTAGCCTAATAAAGGACTCTTAATTTCTCATGGAGTGGGTCACATCATGGAGGTGTCCATATTGAGATCACACAACCTACCAAATAATTATCTCTGTAAGCCCTCTGTTATCAAACAATTTTAAGACAAGTCCAAGACAATTGCCACATCCGCCGATTAAAAAATTACTGAGCGCCTCTTTTTTTAAACTGTAGTGCCATTTTACGATAGATTTTAAAGCGGGAAGCTTTTAAGATGATAACATAATTCATATATGCCAGAACAAAAGTGATTTATTATTTTAAACTGACAGTATGCCTCCCTTCATTGTTTTTCCGCAGAAACTTTCATCGCCGCCCCTATCAGTTTCTTCCTCTTTGAATTTGTCTCATTCTAATGAATTGTTTCTCCGCAGTGTTTTCTGCTTCTCCCGTCTTCTCTCTTTGTCTCTGTCTGTCTCTCGCTCTGTTTTTTTCCCTCCATTTGTTCTTCTTTGCTTTCCCTTCATCGTAACAAATGCATTCTCTCGCTGTCAAGGCTCATTTAAATATTTGGGATGAGAATGAGAATATATAAGAAGAGAGATATTAATATTTATTCTATTAGCTGAAGTGCTTAGGTCTGTAATTTTGCGCCGTCCCAAAAGCACTGTCTTAGATATGATGGATAGCACACCATAATTATGGACGTGAAAAAGTGCTGATGACAGCAGTACAGGCGAGAGGCCAGCAATGGATACGCCAGCGGAGCAAGGGTTAAAGCGCACTCTCATCCTCTTCATTTCTCCCTCCTCTGTTCTTTTTCCCCTTCTCTGGCTCTCTTTTTCTGTCTGCCATTTCACACGTTTTTCTGTCCCGTTTCTTCTTTTGTTTGCTGGTCACATCAATTCACACCTCATCCCGATTACTCTTCTTTTGATTCTCCTTCTGTTTCTCTCATCCCTCTATCACTCTGTCTCTATTCTCATTTCCTAGCTCTTTATCATAGCTCACACCACCATACATTCTTTCTGTCTCTCTCTCTTTCTTGCTCTCTGTCTCAGTAATGTAAAATGTGCTGACTCTTTCTGCTTTGTGGCCAGTAGAAAGCTCTTCTAATAGGCCCCAGAGACTTCCCAGCCTTTCTTAAATCAAGTGGAAAATTGTTAACTTGCACTGATATAAAGATGTTCCATCCACTTCTCTTTTTTTTTTCTCTCACACTCTTCTCTTTTCCCTCTGTTTTGCTGCTTTTATGTAAATTAAAATGTATGAGAGAGCGTGGTTGGGGCTTTTGTGTTTTCTTTGCCCAGATCACAGCCGTGAACATCAAAGTTAATGAGCCTTCTCAGTACTGCGTCCACCTCCCATCAGCGGGATTTTCTTCTAATTAGATATGATTTCAAATAGGCAATCAACTTATAAGTTAGGTAAGATTTCTATCACCCATACTTTTCATATTGGAGCTTCCACTAATTTGTAGAAATTGAATGTTGGTGGGAATGAAAGGAACGGGATTAGGACTATTTGCTTGCTCATCATACATATTAAATGTTGGTAGAAGTGTAGACTTCATTCTTGATCATCATATTCAGTAAAAGTATCATGAAAAACTATTAGTAAAATATTGAATAATAATGTTTGTAAAAGCACAAAAAATTATTAGTTTATTTACTTATTTATTTTGTTTAATTTAATTATTTAAGGAATAGTTTTCCCAAAAAATGAAATTGCTGTCATCATCTTATAAAGTGTTTTTGCCCATAAAATGAAAGTCAGTGGGGTCCAAAACAATATTGGACCCAACTAACTTTCATTGTGCAGACAAAAAAAACACTGAAACATTTTTTTTAAATATCTTCTTTTGTGTTCTGCTGAAGAAAGAAAGGTTTGGAATAACATGAGGTTGAGTAAATGACAGTATTCATTTTTGGCTGAACTAACCATACTGGTCTGATTTAAGTTGATCTAATAAACCAGACTTTGGATTTTACTGGCCAAGAATTGTCCCACTTGGAAAGGGGATGAAAGAGGCAGGTGATTCTGTCAATACTTCCACAATAATATACTGCTGTGCAACAAAATATCAGCTCTTTCAAATAATAGAGCAGCAGACTCAAAAGACAGCAATATGGAAATCCAAATTGTATTTACATTAGACAAAGCTCTTGAAAAATACCTGAAAAGATGTCATGAACCTTGCAAATTTGGGAAAATAGTCATTGTAAGAGGCCACTTTAGCAGCTTGACAACAAATAGACAAAACCTTTTTTCTCCTGAAAGACTGATTAAAAACTATTGCCCCCTGAATTCAGGATGTAGCATAGCAGCCAACCAACAAGTCTGAAATTGGGGGATTCAACCAGCTCTGGCCATCTTAAGGTGGGCGTACACGGTGTGATTTTTGCTGTCGTACGAACTCGCAGGCAAACTGGAGAGCCAAACACTGAGGCTGCCGTCTGTGGCGCCATCGCATCGAATAATCCTTATCGAATAAAATAAAACTGTATATAATTATACAGTTCTATTTTTTATTTGTTATTCCAAATGTGCCAAATTTGCCATTCAGCTTTATGAATATGCCTGTTTTATTTCCAGCAAAACGAGCAGAAATTCAGAAATGGCCTACTCCCTCGAGTTCTTTATGAAGAACAGAAAGTCCATGCTTTTCTCTGCTTTTCAGCCATTCTCTTTGCCATGTCCTTTAGTCTG